CCAAAAGGGGGGTGGCCCCCCCCCGGGAAACTTGTAAAAAGAAAGGTATTGGAAAACCCAGGACACATTTCTTAACCCCTCCCCAACAATGAGGGACTAGACAGGTTGAAAGTGGTACCTAGGAAAAGATTTGTGTGGGGAGAGCTGAACTGTAAAACCCTTTCTCTGCAACCAAGGCTAACACCCCATAAAAGGAGAGAATTTTCAGTGAACTCATTTGAAGAGCTTGATATGTTCCCCACACTGGAGTGTGACTTCTCCCTGGAAAATCTAAAATCTGGCAGATACAACTGGCTTGGCTGGCTTCTCTGATGGTACCAACAAAGGAAACGTTGCTGCATCAAGACTGATTTTCATTTTCAGGGATTACTGGGTCCAAGATATGTGAGTAGTGTTTCCAATTGTGGGAGACGTGATTCAGCCAATGTGGAGTTGTTCCAAATTTTGCCCAAGAGGACTGCTTTGGGTTAGTAGGAGATGAGCAGTGAGGGGATTCCAGCAAGGAGTCTTTATTGAATAGTCAAAAGAAAAACCAGAGTTTTAAGAATGTACAGTGAGCTATCGGAAAATATCTTCTTGCCCATGTTGTAGAAAGTAAGATAAAGAGTTCCCAGGGGCGTGGAGGGAGATCTCAAAAGAACTTGTTTAAGCACCAACTCTGCCACTCATCCCATCACAAGAAATCAGCTTTAAACATTTTTTCCCCACTTCTCCCTTTCATCCTGTTTTCCCCTCTCCTGTGCCTGCTTTAGTTTTTCTCTTTCCTTTCTTTTTATCCTTTGTTAAAAATTTATCATCTTTACTTGCTTTATTGATGGGTTATTATTATTGTAGTCTCTGTTGGCTTACTCATATATCTAATTTCCTCTCCCCTGCTCCAAGTCTACACATGCTTCTTCTCCTTTCTCTTTCTTCGCTAGTCAATTTTTTATGCTTGTTTTTCCTCTCCTTTCTTGCTCTCTTCTTCTCTTAATTGTTTAGTTAGTTCCACTCAATAAGCCTACCTGCTCTCTCCTTTTCAAAAAATGGATGAATAAATTAATATATATATCTTTTTATTTTTTAAATTTTTATTAGCATTTTTAATTTTTTAATATTTTCTTCTTCCTTTATTGGTTTTCTTTTTCTTCTCTTCTTATCCACTCATTCTCTTTCTACCTCCTCTATACTGAACCATGATTCTTCTCCTATTCATTCAATTCCTTAACCTTACTTTCCGTATATAAGCTCTGCCTCTACAGATTCTGTCCCCCTCTTTTTCTGGGTGTTTGTTGTTTGCATTTTTTGGTTTATCTGTTTGTTTTGTGGTGTTTTCTCCCCACATTTTTTCTTCTTTTTCTTTTGTCTCTTACCTCTTCCCCTCTACCCCGCACACATATCATCTTTGCTCTCTTTTC